CCGTCCGTTCGTCTGTTATTTCGAAGGAAGTATCCGATTTGGTCCAGGCATAGTACATCGTAATATTATTATCAAACTTAGATTGGGTTAGGAGATGGGAAATATCGACCAACTCCTTTTTGCACCTCCCAAAAATTCGAAATTTCCCAAAAAAAAATAGTGCACGGGAGGGATCGGACATTCCTTCCGGTACCTCCCCCACAATGTTTTGAATAACCAAAACGATCATAAAATAACAAAATAAACATCTGGTGCTCTTCATATTTCACACATCCCATATCAGACTAACACAAGATATCGGTTCACTCTTCTGCTACCTTCCCTACGAAGGGTCAACATTTTGAATATCCAGGCACCATACACCCGATTCCATTCACAATTGGCACATCTCAATATTTCTATCAACACTAGCTCTGTTATAAAGATCCTAGAGATCAAGCCATTCCTTCTGGTACCTCCTCCACAACAGGTCAAAGTCTTGTAAAACTAAAACGATTATAAAATCCGAAATAACCATCCTGTTCCCTTTATATTTCACACTTCCTTTTCGAAAATCCACTTTTTTGTTTGAGTTCTCGACTTTTTTCATTACATTCTAATGTTCATTTGTAGTGCATCCAGCCCCCAATGGAAAAAGCAAAAACGGAAAAAACACACAAAAATAAATATACTGTCCTACAAGCAGATGTCGCAAATCTGTCATGGAACTTGAGTAACCTTGTATGTGGCAAAAATTTATTTGGAAATTGCCAACAATTGACGTTGACACTTTTTTTGCTTTGTTTTGTTAGTTTGTTTTCTCGGCAAGTTTTTTCCTTTTTGGTGTTGGTGGTGTGGCGAGAAGAGGTTGGAGGAGGCCAATGGGTGTTATAATAAATGCAAAGACATGATGGTTGGAACATTTGCTAGACTCATATCCCTCCTTCGACAAGATTTTCATGACCACAGCAGCAGAGCAACAGCGATGAGCAGCAACTGTTGTATGAGCAAATATTTTAATAGACAAACACACACACACATACAAGCGTATATACACATACACTTATGTTGATGTGATTTCCATTATTTCCAGCGAATGTATTTGTGAATGAATGGCCTTTGCCTTTTGTGAGGGGCTAGAGTGAGGGAATGTTGGCAAAGTAGGGGGAGGAAAATATAATATAAAGTATAAATGTAATAGTTTCCTTGTACCTTAGTTTGGTGGGCGGAAGGGGAGGAAAAATATTGTTTTTTATTTGTTGGCTAAGTTTTTTCCTTATTTTCTGCCTCCTTCTTTTTTTGAAATGAAATATCAACCACGTCAACAACAATTTGGCCAAGAGCCAATTTAAACATTTGATAGCTTGAACTCTAGCTGGACTGGACGAAAATATTGTTGTTTTTCTTGTTACTGTTGTTGTTGTTTTTTCGTTAATTTTATTTTGTCCAGTTGTGCAAAGAGTACTTAACTGCCAGATATCTTAATAAATCCAAATAGCCTAGATAGTTCTAATAAACTATTTCCTTGGCTTCGAAGGAGGAAGAGGTCGTCGATCACAATATATCAGCACAGAATGTGAAAAATATGTAAATTTCGAAATGACTTATTGGCATATTTTAATCATTAATAACATCGGCCAAAGACATATTCATGTTCGTTCTGTCTCTTCAATAAATCATCAATGTGTTCTTGGCAGATTTGTTTGTTCGGGCGGTTTTCTTCTTTTTTCTGCACGGTGGAGGAAAATCCCATTACGACGACATATTAAGAAAATTGTTGGGTGATTTACTATAATGGAATTTTCTATTCGTCATATGTGGTGATGATTTAATGGGGTAAGGGGAATGGGGAAAAATGAGGATGGGAGGTGGATAACGGCCATAAGTCTTCCATAGGTAAACTAGAATTCCAAAAGAGAACCAGTGGGGAATGGTCAAAAGTAGGGCGGGACTGACTATATGATACCCTACACCACCATGCGTAGATCGTACCAACTATGAACCTTATTTGAATGCGTATTCTGGCTTTAGAGTAGTCACAATTTGGGAACGATATCCAACTCTGAATCGATTTTCAACCAAATTAACGGATCTTTTTTACCTCTAGTACCAAACACCCTTACAGTACAACGTGAGATGAAAAAACTGCAACCAACTTCAGACAGCTGTCACTTCTAAGCCACTCGTCCGACAGCTATTGAAATTATTCCAGTGACAGCTCATTATATTGTTTACAAGCGTACAAAAGCATTTTGGTGAGAATTTTATAAAAAAAAAGTTATTCGTGATGGAATTCAAGCGTGATAGTGTGATTTCTTTATATTTGACTGGAATACCGCAAGTGGCTATCGTTAGAGCTCTCCAGCATTTAAATTTGAATAAATCTTTTTGTGTTTCGTATCATCGCTCGTTACCGCGATACTGGTAGCGTAGCCCGATGTCAAGGAAGTGGACGAAAAAAAAACAGCAACATCAGCAGAAATGGTTCGAAAAGTAAAGAAGCGACTTGATGGAAACACCCGTCGCAGTGGCCGAAAAATTAATAGTGAGCTGAACATATAGCAATATTCCATTCGACAAATAATGCAAAATAAGCTCGGGGTAAAGCCATTGAAATTCCAAAAAGTGCAAGAACTTACACCGCAACAGGAAGAAAATAGACTCAAAAGAGCTAATGAGTTGCTTCGCTTAACCGAAAGTGGTGAACTGCCGAACTTGGTTTTCTCCGATGAGAAAACATTCGTTGTCCAGCAGTTTGTAAACAAACAAAATTATCGCGTTTACTTGCCAAAGAGGTTAGCTGAAAATGTGCACCTTCGGTTGGCCACAAGAACTCAAGCGCCGGTCATGGTGATGATGTGGGCTGCCATAATAGTCGATAGTCGCTCTTCGCTCGTATTAATGGACCATGGCATCATAATAAATGCCGAATATTATCGCGAAAATATTCTGGAGGTTGTATTAAAGCCTGGGGCACGCAACCTTGGACATTCCAACAGGACTCAGCACCATCGCACTCAGCACGCGCCACTCAAGAATTGTTACAAAATGAGATTCCTTGCTTGATTTCCAGCGCACAGTGGCCACCAAAATCTCCCAATACCAATCCGTTAGACTATTGTGTCTGGAGTATTTTGGAAAGCAATGTTGGCACTAAAAAATACCAAAGTGTCGATCACCTCAAGCAAGCGCTTCGGTGGGAATGGGCCAAAATACCGCAGAGCAACATTTGGGCAGAGTGTGACGATTTGATTGGCCATTTAAAGGCCATAATTCGTCCCAAGGTGACCAATTGGAACAAATCTAAACTTATTCTAAAATTTGATGCTATTTCCGACATTTTTTGCATTCATTCAATATTTTTTTTAAAGAAATGTAAGAATGATGGCGTTTGACTTTGTTGCAGTTTTTTTATCTCACCCTGCAGAAGACCTGTTAGAAATCTGTAGAAAGAAGACTTCTTATAGATATTTCATAGTTGGAAGAAATTCTTCTAAGAAGTCTTTTTCAGTAGACATAAGAAATTCTTGAGGCTTTTTAAGAAAACCCAACTTTTAACAATCTGATCCGATTCTCACCAATTGCAATAGGAGTAGTCTTTGGGCCAAGCAAATATTGTTTGAAAATTGTTATCGCAATCGGATATTAAATCGGAAAGTAAAATATATGGAAATGCGGACGGACTGCCATGCATAAATCGACTCAGAAAGTGATACTATGAAGAGTCTGTAGAAAGAATACTTCTTATATTTATTTTATAGTTACAAGAAGTTCTGCTAAGAACTGGTTTTCCGTAGAACTTATTTCATAAGAAGTTATTAAAGCCCTCTATGAAAAGCAGACTTTTCCCAGGGTTTCTATGACGGGGAAGCTTTTATTGGCCCTACATGGATAGGAAACCATTTGATAGTCTGCTATTGTTGAAGGACCTCGTATAGGTCTTCTATAGATACAAAGTCTGGTATAGGTCTTTTATAGGTAAAAGAACTTGTATAGCTCTTCTAGAAAGAACACCTTGTATATATATTCTAAACAGAGGAGACGCTGCATTGGTCTTCAAAAGAGAGAAAAGAAAGAGGACATTTATAGGTCTTCTATAGATAGAAGACCTTGTATAGGTCTTCTATAGATAGAAGACCTTGTATAGGTCTTCTATAAATAGAAGACCTTGTGTAGGTCTTCTAAAGATAGAAAACCTTGTATATGTCTGCTATAGATAGAGGACATTTATAGGTCTTCTATATATAGAAGACCTTGTGTAGGTCTTCTATTGATAGAAGACCTTGTATATTTCTGCTATAGATAGAAGTCCTTGTAAAGGTCTTCTATAAAAAGAAGACCCCGTATAGTTATTCTGTAGATAGAAGACCTGTTATAGGTCTTAGGTTTTCTATAGATATAAGACTTTGTACTGGGGTTCTAAAGATATGAGACCTTTTTTAGGTCTTCTATAGATAGAAGACCTTTTATAGGTCTTCTATAGATAGAACACCTTTTATAGATGACGTTGCGTAGGATTTCTATAGAATGTTTGTCCAAAGTACTTTTTAGTACTTCTTCGTACGAATTTCCAAAAATCTCATCTAATCGCCCACCTAGCCACCAATAGCGACCTATATACGAATTTTCAAGATTCTATCCCAAGTAGTTTTTTCGCGGCTATGAGACTATCAGTCATTAATCTTTGACAATTGAATTTTTGCATGTGCCATTAACAAAACTTACCTTTATACAATTCTGAATGAATTAGATTTTTATTTATTGCAATTCCTCCACAAGACATCAGTCCACTTTTATGGAAAATCTATTCTTATCTAAACAATCAATGTTGTTGTTTGTGTTTTTTTTTTTTTTGCATTTTTATTTTGATTTAACCAAGCGGAAATTTACAAATAAATATTTTGATTTTGATTTGTTAAAATTCCATTCAACTTGACTGCATTGATGCTGATACTCATGATGATGATGATGATGATATGGATGTGTTATTGTTTTCTTTTCATGTTTTTCAATTTTTGCAGGAAAATGAAGATCGTTTCACTTCCATTGAATTGCCTCCGGGCCAAAAAATGCCATACAACAATGCACCTGCCCCCATTCCGGCACCACCAACACCCAAACCTGCCAAAGTGGATAAATCATCGGCGGCCAAGGGACAGCAGCCGCCAGCAGCGACCATAACCTCGGTGCCGACAGTGGCTACGTTGCGTGACGTCGACTCACATGCGGCCCTGCTCACGTTGGACGTGACGGCCCAGAGTGAGACCAATGAACCGGAACGAGGCAATTGGACGGGTCGATTTGATTTTCTACTCTCGTTGTTGGGTTACTCAGTCGGTTTGGGTAATGTTTGGCGTTTTCCGTATTTGTGTTATAATAATGGTGGAGGTGAGTAAATAATTTTAAGAATTGTTTTTTATTTTTATGATTTTGTTTTGAAGACTAATAATAGTTGTTAATAGATATAGAGAATTGCTCCTGAAATAAAAAATATAAAGCACGACTTATTGAAAAATTATACTATTCTACAAATGAAAGATTTAAAATTGTAATGGTATGTGGAAATCGCAATCCATAGGCAAAGAATTCTCCAGATATGGATATAAAATCTGTTCTTGTAGTAACAAAACATGTTTGTGCCCGTCCACCAGTACATGTAATTTATAAACAAAATACAGATTAAATTTCATTTCAAAATACAGATTAACAAGTTTATATTGGGAATTTATGTGAAGTAGATCATACTAGCTATGAACCTTATTTGAATGCGTATCATGGCTTCAGAGTAGTCACAATTTGGGAACTATATCCAACTCTGAGTCGATTTTCAACAAATTTGACGGATGATTTGTTGTTTGGTGAAGAATAACCGTAAAACTGGATGACGATGTAAAAAAAATCTGAACCGATCTAAACAAAACTTGGCAGAGGTATTTTCAACTGTATCTGGTGCCCGGCATCAAATATCATTCTTGTGGAGTGCATACCACGCATGTGGGGGACTTAAACACCAAATAGAATGTAACATATATATGGGAGCTATAGCTCTATCTGTACCGATTTTCACCAAATTTGAGGCAAATGCTTCTAATCTGAATTCAATCAGAATTCCAAGATTTAGTTCATTTTTACTGATATATGCCATTTGGTGCACAATAAATCTGATATTAAATCGAGCTATATATAAAATTTTGATCCGATCTCGATAAAATTTGACAGAGGTATCTTTGAGCTCCATAAGTTATCTGGTACCCCATACCATTGTGGTGGAGTGAATATTACGCATGTAAAGGACTTAAACAGAAAATGAGATGAAACATTTACAGAGGAGCTATAGCTCTATCTGAACCGATTGATGAACCAAATTTGATGCGCTTGCTTCTAACTAAACTCGGTCGGATTTGCCAAAATTCAGGACATTTGGACTGGAAATCGGTCGAAATTCAGGTCATTTGGAAATATATTGGCCATTTGGTCCACAACTAACCCGAAATCGGTTCAAGGTATATATGGAAACCATATCTAAATTTGAACCGATGCTCACCAATTGTTTAGAAAATTTCATCTCGATCGGGCAATAAATGCGACCTGTACTTTGTTAACATAAATACATGGATAGACGGACATGCATAAATCAACTCAGAAAGTGATTCTATAAGGATCCTAAAAAGTAACTATGTATCTATCTCATTTTCTTCTCCATGTTCGAAACAAATGCACAAAGGTATAAACCCCTGACCACAGTGTGGTGTAGGTACACATAATGGGGGCTCACAATTAGAAGTCGCTTAGAGGCCATAAGCCCCTGCATACTAACCTCTTCTGGCAGAGAAGAACAGAGTGGCACTTTCATTGATAAAATATATTTGTCGCTGATTTCTCCGTGATGGAGTTGGACAGGCAAAGTCGCCTACAAAGGTAGCCACGACTAGCTGGCATAACTCTTATAAAATATGAAGAAGCACTTGATTTTCTTGACATTTTGGGCATCTTCACTTTTATAATATTACACTTATGATTGTAGAGGGTATATATCATGATATGATGGTTTTAGACTTCCATGTTTCCATTTTTGAAAGTAGTTTCCGAACAAATGGAATTTAACTATCCTGTACGTCTGTCTGTTTGGCGGGTATGCACGAAGGGAGATCCGGTTTTGTCCAAACTTGGTTCATTTAATACGGTAACCCCTTCACAAAAGTTCAGAATTTCACAAAAATTTACGAGTAAAAAAGTAGATTACTTCGACCGGTCGGAATCTATAATACCTTCTACCATTTGTAAGGAACTTGCACAGTATAAAAAGGCCCGTTAAATTGGAAAAAAAACGAATATCAGGTCTTACAGTTATATGGGCGGTGCCTATTGGGAAAGTCTAGTTTGAGATATTCTGTTGAAAAATGAAGCTAAAATCATCAACATACCAAATAAAGGGAGGTATTGTTTTATGGGGGCTATTCTATTACCAATAATGTACCAGATAAGGCAGAGCTCCAAATGCCAAGTTTGCTATATATTTTTTTTAAATGTCGAATATTGGGAGGTGCCCTCATATGGATACCATATGAAGATATGGGCCTGTATGGGCGATTTTCTGTCTTAAGCGAACTACATTACGAACTACAAATACCAAACTATTCGGGTGAAAAGTGCTATACAATTCATTCAAATACCGAATATCATAAGGTACAGTTATATAGGGACTATATCAAAACTTGGACCTATGTGGACAGTTCCATGCAATGATGGTTCTTACATACTGGGAACACCAACCGTCCATTTACAGCTAAGTCGGGATAAAATTGTGATTAAAACAACCAAAAGACCTTAAATCTGGCAGTACAGATATGTGGGAACTATACCAAAATGTGGGACGATATGGCTCATACCAAAAATGCTGCAGAGGTAAAATACATCTGAGTAAAATTTTAAAATTCTACTTCATTTTCTTTGGAAGCTAGAGTGATTTCCAAAGACGGGCTGATCTACATAGAATTGTATGCTTATCAAGAATTTGCGCGGTCTTCAATTTGTATTTCGAGGTGTTACAAACGCAATGACATACTTAACATACCCTCTACACTAGGGTGGGGGTATAAAAATATATATTTCATGGGAAGCTAAGGGGCACACGAAAATTTGAACAACCTACGTTAAAATATTTGTATCATACTAAGTCAGCCCTACAAGAGTCCACAAAAAATACCACGAATACTACGAGGTCGGGCCGAACATTTGGTATCTTCCACCATGAGGGAATGGAAACAATGGTAAAAATGTCCGATGCAATGGACCCTTAATTATTGATGACATTATTTCGATTAGGCACGTTTTGGCCGGACCCTCTGTAGCCATATGGCTGAGGGTATAATAAATAAAATTATTTTAATAAAAAAACTAAAAAAATATTACCTTGCGCATTGTAGGTCCTATTTGCTATTTGGTGACAAATACCAGTTTTTATACCCTACACCACAAGGTGGTCAGGGTATTATGTCTTTGTGCATTTGTTTGTAACACGCAAAAGGAAACGAGATAAATCCTTAGTTCCTTTTGATGATCTGTGGTGGCTAGTGTAAATCACATTCTGAGTCGATTTATGCATGTCCGTCCGTTCGTCCGTCCGTTCGTCCGTCCGTCTGTCCATATATTTTTGTAAACAAAGTACAGTTCGCATTTATTGCCCTATCCAGATGAAATTTTGCACAAATCATTTGTTTGGCCCAAGGACGAACCCTATTGAAATTGGAGATAATCGGTCAATATTTAGATATAGCTCCCATATATATCTTCGTCCGATTTGCCTTTTATTGTGCACCAAACGTGTAATATCAGTCCGAATAGTAGGAAATTATGCACGTACGATCAGATTGGACCTGAAATTAAATATGCTAAATTTGATCGAAATCGGTTCAGATATAGCTATAGCTCCCATATATTTTGTTCATCCGATTTGTTATTTTTGTCCTCCGCAGCCGTAATATGCACTCTGTAACAACAATATTTGGGGAAATATATCAAATACAGCTCAAAAATAAATTTGCTAAATTTTATCGAGATCGGTTCAGATTTGGATATAGCTCCCATATATAACTTCCTCCGATTTACGTTTTATTTTGCACCAAACGTCTAATATTTGCCCAAATTGGATGAAATTTGGCACTTACGACCTAATTGAGTCTAGAAGATAGTATGTCAAATTTGGTGAAGATCGGTTCAGATATAGCTATAGCTCCCATATATACTGTTCATCCGATTTGTTATATTTGTTACCCACAGCCGTAATATGCACTCCGTAACAAAGATATTCAGGGAAATATATCAAATACAGCTCAGAAGTAACTTTGCCAAATTTTATCGAGGTCGGTTCTGATTTGATAAAATCCTTTCCTTCCTGGTTTTTCATATATTTTGGATTTCGCCGGAAAGTGGCATATTCGCAGTTGAATGGAATTTTTGGTGTATTTCATACAAGACAAGAGTCAAACATGAACTCGGACTTGTCCTTAACCTTAGATCCATGCAAATCTCCTCATCGAATGGTCTATAATGTGCAGACAATTAGGACAATTTTCTGTGTTTTCGGTCTATAAAATATATTTTTTTTCTGGCCCTAACCCCATCTAAAATTTTATAAGAATTTTATTAGAAAAATTCCGATCTTTATAGTGATCACTATAAAAATGGCTTAGATCATCGGGGTATTATAATGAACGGCAACCGTGATGTTGCTAATATTTTGGGTCAATCCGACGTATAATGTACTCACAAACTCCTCTACTTTGTTGACATATGACCCATAAAAATCTGAAAAATTCGTTGTTAATTTTTACCTTGAGATATATGAAGTGCGGTATATATGTATGTATGCCTTAAAAATGTAGCATCGTACACATATTTACCATTTAAGGACCTATTGCCAATTTTCTCGTATCTGTAGTCAACTGTAATCAATTATTAAGAACGAGAACGTAATTAATTTTCAATGTTATTATGAAAATCTGTTAAATATTTATTTTTTGGTGCTTAAATGATTGATTTGTGATTTTAAAGAAATCCCTGATTTTTTGCCACTCAATATACAAAAATGTCAAAGGCATTGGAAAGTGAGAAGCTTGTTCTTACTTTCACCAAAAAGTAGCTATGAATCATTTAAGTGATTGATGGCTACCTTTTAGATGTTCCCCTTTGATTGATAACTCCTTTTGGAGAGAAAAAACAAAAAACATATTTTTTCTTAGGAATTTCTAATGACCACTGAAGATGATTTAAAATTTCAAATTTCCTTTGACGTTTATGTGAATCCTATGTTTTCTAATCATCCATTATCCATTTCTCTTTGTGTTTTTTTGCAGGCGCTTTCCTTATACCCTTCACCATTATGTTAATTATTGCCGGCCTTCCCCTGATGTTCATGGAGCTGTCATTCGGTCAGTATGCCGCCCTGGGACCGGTGGCCATCTATCAGCGTTTTTGCCCATTGCTTTGCGGTTTGGGTACGGGCATGATTATTGTCTCGGCCATTGTTATGTTGTACTATAATCTCATTATTGCCTGGACTATATTCTATATGTTTGCATCGTTTCGCACCAAGCTGCCGTGGCAGAACTGTGAGCCCGAATGGAGTACAGAAAGTAAGTGACCATAAATTGAATTTTAATTTTTAAGAGGGTGGCAAAGTGGGGTGGGGGTTTTACAAACAAACAATTGTGGTGTGTAATGTTGGCACAAAAACCACTTACCTTTACAAAAAAAAGCGAGCCCACAAATTTTTAATGGCTTTGTTTTCAATATTTAATCATGTTTGTCGATTGCTGGAGACAAGAAAACGGAAATGAAAAAAAAAAAACGATCCTAATGGTTTCTAATACAAGGACTTTATTTTTCAAATGGTCACGGATAAGGCTTTAAAATTGTCCTTAGAAAAATACATTTTATATTTTTATGGTGGGAGCAAAAATAACTAACATTGGCGTGGGTGAAATACATTCCAATGGGGATTTTAATGCAGGATGGAATCTAAATCCCATATACAACGCCCATGTCTATTGACAACTCCCTCCTACACTTTAACCACCATTAATATTTGAAGAATTGTCTTTTTTTGTTTTTGGCTTCTATTTTGGTTTTTGCGGTTTTTATATATATGTGCGATGTCCAAGTACAATTTGTGGCTTTTGTCTGTAATTGAAAAAAAAAACCGAACTGAAGGAAATTGAACGTATTTTTTTTAGCATTTCAATTTACCCAATATTGTGTTATAAATTTGAAAGAGACTGAAAAACAAATAACCTCCATGACTTTAAATAACACATAAAAGTCATAGATGTCAACAAATCTAGACGGCCATTGTCAATTGCGATAAAATTGTCTCGCCTCAGTGTGGTGGGTGTGGGAGGAGGAAGGGGAAATGGATTTGTTAAATTGTCCAATTTCAAAGTTTATTGATATTCTTGGATTTTTTGTTTTTATTTTCGTATACATAAATATGTGTCTATGTAGGTCTCTTTTCAATCTCTTAAATGATTTATATTTTATGGATACCTATAACAGGTATAAAATATATTGTTTATATATAGCCATCCATTAAAATCCCATTTTATGTCATTTGTATTTCTGACTTTATGGGGGAGAAGAAATTACATAGATGTAAAGAAAATATTTATATTTTTATTTTAAAACTTTTCTTGTCAAAAAAATCCTTTTTGAATTGTTTCAGAAAACAAGCCTAACATTTTAAGGCTATAAGGAAACGCACAAAAGTAATATTTTGCACCAGTTCCATTTTCAATTTTTTTAATTTTTGATTGCTCATAATCCTAGTTCTGACTAACATGTTGTTATATTATACAAAATTCCCAAATCTGATGGTATCGAATTAAGACAGAATTCTGTTGCCAAATGTTGCAAAAACCTCAGAACTACCAAAACTGAAACCTGAACCGAATTCATTTTTTTGTACAGAGCACACGATCTCAATGAGAATTCCAAAAAAAAAAAAACGAGTAAAAAAGCAGCTAAGTTCAGCCGGGCCGAACTTTTTATACCATTCGAAGGAACTTAAAATATTAAAAAAAAATTAGATAAAAAACTTTAAATACGGGATATACGAAGACATGGTGCTGGATAAGTCAATTTCTTGAATAGGCTGTAGTACCGATTCCGAACTTCAAATACGAATTTTGAAACAATTTCGATGAATAATGTCTCTAATATCATCAATCTACCGAATAAAGGGAGGTACTGGTGTATGGAGGCTATACTAAGATAAAATGTAGACCTATATAGACAATTCTCTACCAGGGGGTAAAGTACTCAGAGAGAACTCCTTGTGTGGATTTTCAGGCTATGACGTGGAAAAATGTGGCTAAAATCATCAAAATACCGAATATCGGGAGGTACCATTGTATGTGAGCTATACGATATCGTGGACCTATATAGAAACTTCCCTTTCAGGGGGTTAAGTACTCACAGAAAATTTCGTAGAATTTCAAACGTTATTAAAAAATGTGACTAAAATCATCAGAATACCGAGTGTCGGGGGTACAGTTATTTGGGGGATATACGAGATCGTAGACCTATTTAGACAACTTTTTTTCAGGGATTAAAGTAGTTACGAAGAACCACTTGTGTAGGATTTCAGACAATTCCATTGCAAAATGTGGTTAAAATCATCAAGATACCTAATATTGGGGGACCGTTATATGGGGTTTATACTATAAAGACAATTCCCTTTCAGGGGGAAAGTGCTCACAAGGAACCCCTTGTGTAGAATTTTAGACAATTCCGTCGAAAAATGCGGCTAATATCATCAAAATACCGAATATAGGGGGTACCGTTATTTGGGGGCCATTAGATATCGTGTACCGATATATCCCATCTTCGAACTTGACCGGCCTGCACACAAAAGACTGATTTGTGCAAAATTTTAGCTTCCTTTCTTAATTCGTTTTGACTCTAGCATAACTACAACATACGGAAAGATGGTTGGACGGACAGGGCTAAATCGTCTTAGAATTTTACGCTGATCAAAAATATATATACTTGGTTAGGTTCAAAATTATTATTTCGATGAGTTAAAACGGTGCTATGTATGGTGGAGGGTATAAATATATATAAAAAAAATTATCACTCGGTTTTGCTGTTTAAAAAAATTAAATTCTTTCAGCAGAAAATACTACAATTTTCTATCAAGAATTGCTTGACATTTTTTTTTAAATGTAGAAAATATGGCCGGATGTTTCTAAAAAAGATTTTTTTCTGGAAAAATATATCTTGGTGAAGGCCACAATTTGGAAAAATACGCTTAAAAATGCAAACACCTTTTAAAATTTTGAAAAATATATCAAGATGAAAAAAGTCCTAAATGCGAGGAAGGTCTTGAAAACTTGATCGTTGTTTAACATTTTTTTATGAAAAATTGTCACGTTATTACTTTTAAAGACAAGAATTTCAATAATTTCATTTCAAGTTCTTAGAACTTTTTGAAGGACACACAATAAATATATTTAAAACAAGTAAAAAAAAAACATAACTTTGGCCGGGCCGAACTTTTAATACCCTCCACCTTAGGGTAAAGGAGGTACCGCTATATGGGGTATAAAAACGAGAACGTGTACATACAATGTTTCACCAACAGAGCTAGATCCTATTAAGACACACAAATACCAATATTTAGTCAAATCCGCAAATAAATGTGGCAAAAATCATCAAAATACCGAATATCTGGAGGTACCATGATATGAGAGCTATACCAAAACGTGAACCTATACATACAATTTTTCGCCGCCGCAGCCAGAACCCCTTACGACCAACAAATACCAATTTTTAGACAAATCCGTAAAAATGTGACAAAAACCATCAAAATACCGAATATCGGGAGGTTGCGTTATATGGGGGCTTTCCACAACGTGGCAAAACTCATCAAAATACCAGGTACCGTTATATAGGGATTATATCTCATTTTTAATGCCAACCATCCTAGACAAAATACAAATTGTTCTGCTAAATTTTGACAGACAGACGGACATCGTTAAATCTACTTAGAATTTTAGACTGATTATTAATATACATACTTTATGGGGTCTATGACGAATATTTAGGGATGTCACAAACGGAATGACAAAGTTAATATACCCTCCTTTCCAAGGTGGAGGGTATAATAAATTATTTATATAAAGACCAGAAGTTTCTAAAAATATTTTTATAAACTGCACAGATTTTGACCCAGAAGATTGTTTTAATTTTTTTTATAAATTCTTTGTTCTTGGCTAGAACGTCAGAACAGTGAATTAGGAAAAATCGAATAACAGATTATCATTATCATTCAAAAATTGAGCCTTTCTGGACCTAGTACTAGAAGTACTGACGTATTATTGTCAATATTCGCACCTGACCTTAGACATATCTAAATATTACGATATGCCAAATTAGAAGTTTATGGAGACTATCCCAAAAACCTGAACAAATTTCGATTTTTTTTTGTAAAGGGTTAATGTTCTCCATAAGAGCTCTGAACTCCATAATATATCTTTTCATTGGAAAATGTGGTTCAAATTTCCAAAATGCCATATCTAAACTGGGAAAGATATACAATTTTTGTTCCCATAAAATTGCCAGATATAATATGTGACCCAAATTTAAGTCCTCTAAAATACACAAAAATTTAGACATTTCGGAAAGGCCCCACTAGCAAGTCGTGCTTCCATAATTTCCGAAAATATCTCACATTTGTGATCTTTTAAAGTTCTCCCCATTTCTCCGCACATTTCGTACCTGTTTAACCATAAATTTAGTTATTTTCTCTTCCCATATGACATTCCATATGTACATATCTGTGTAACACTTAAAGTTGTCATAAAAAAGGAAATCTCAAATCGTAAATAAACGCTTAGTGAGGGTGGTGTGAAGAGCTGCACCAGCAAATGGGACAAAGTTAAGCGGATATGTTTATGATTTAATACAGCGTTTTTTATATCAATATTGTTAAGCTTCCGGTTTTTGTAAACGGAAACAGCGTGACTTCAATGAGGATTTTTTTTTTTTTTTTAAATGACAGCGGCAGCAACAACAACTACAACAGCCGTATCGAAAGTCATAAAAGCAAATATTTTAAAGAATGTTAGCTGGAAGTAGGAAGTGGGGTAGCGTGGAGCAATAGGAAGAAAAATTGTAAAAGCGAAATGTTCAAAGGTGTCTGTAAAGACGATGATGCTGACTTGAAGTATTACATTTGGTCATATCAATGTAATGGTTATGATGGAGAGGGAAAGGAAAAGGAGGTGGCTGAAAATAAGTATACCCGCTCCGCTGTATATCATCCTTCGCATCATCAACGTGACAGCATAAAAAGTGTACAATCTTCAAATAGCAATTAATAATCGAAAAAGAAACCGGCAACTGGCTATCAAATTTTGGTAAGTCATGTTTTGAAGCCAAGGTACCTGCCATTATTTTGATAGCTTCCGAACATGACATATTTGTTTTGTGATATATTTCATTTTTATCCTTAGACCTATTCCTCGTCATAAATAACATGGGTTGACATAGGAATTTTATAGGCCCGCAAGCATTTTCATTCACTTTTAATAAATTGTTTTTCCATTCTTTTTTTGTTTTCTTCGGCTATAATTAA